GTTACAGATGTAAAGTACAGAGTATGAATAAGAGCTCATTTAAAACTGTAAAATCCACTTTGGAGAGGAGAGATTCTGACCAGATACAGCAGGAAGAGTATGTGCTTAATGTTTCCCACTGTCAAACAGCTTTAGCTTCCAGCTCAAGCAACAAACCCTTTCGAAACCCTGATAATGTAAAAGCAGTTCTGAGCAGAGAACTCACAGGGGAAGCTACTACGGGAGCCCTTCTCCTCTTGCTTCTCTACTCTCAAACACACCTTCTAAGTAGCTTCTTTTATCATAATTTATTATCAGAACACATATCTCAAGAAAGTGATCCTATACAAAACATACACTAAAGTCATATATCTTTTGCATTACCCAAGTCAAAAACTGAGACTATTTAAGACTTTCTAGAAAACATTTCCCCCTCTTAGGCAGTGGAGAATATAACACCACACACAAAAGACACAGAGACTTTCTCTCACTGTGTCCACACATTTCTTCTTACTCTGCATACCACTTGCTGGGGGCATATAACTAGAGGACATTGTTGTTCCTATAACCTGCCCATAAGATACCCAGAGACACTTGTCTTACTGCTTCATTCAGAATGCTGGATATGATGGAGATAACCAATTTGCCAAAGGCCTCAGACTTAAATTAGCTTTATTTGTTATCAGTGGCATCATTACTGACTGCCTACATAGTGTATCTAGGAAAGCAAAGTTTGGGAAAAGTGGGAGGTGCTTCCAAAGCAGTGGCTATGAAGAAAGAAGGAATCAGTTAAAAGGGGTGATAAATTTTACAGGGATTTCAGGAAAGATCCCTACCACATCCCTTGGTAGAGAATATTAATCTTAGCCCATAGCAATAATTTGCTATGCATATTATTTGATACAAAAGTTTAAACTGTGAATAGCACTCCCTGCATTAGGAGATTTTCAAATTCATCCAAAGGTCAATGCCTATGCCAATAGCAATAAGCCTCCATATTGAAAGTCTTTTCTGTTCTTTCCCTGAACTTCGTACAATCATACTTGCACAAACTCAGTGGATCATTAAAGCTTACTTTAGCATTACACCATTAATCCCAAGCCATCTCAGGATACAATATGCTAAGATAGTCAACATTAAATGAAAAAGTAAAATATATCTAAAATACTAGTGGAGTTTCTTGTCAAAGGGTTTATTTTTAAGACTAGCAAATAACACGCTCTAAATTAATTTCAGTAAAGGCCTACTGAGGACAATGGAATGACTTGGCAGGATGTGAACTGAAGTTTTAAATGAACAACATAAACCAAATGAAAACTGGACATGTTGCCACTTTTAAGAATAGCACAGACTCTGAAGCACTCCCTTTCACAGTCCACATTAAACTCCTTCCATGTATTCCTCACTTCCACAAACCTACAAACAGGCCCTAAATGATTCAGTGCTCTGGTTTTATCAGTCACATTCATTCCCAACCTACCCAATCCTAAATTGTTGATTAAAAGCAGGAGTAGCAAGCAGCATGTTTATTTATCCCTGCTTGTGCTTGGTAAATCATGGCTCAATCTATAATTGGCTTTTGTGTAAACTAGCTCATTGATAAGGACTGAACGTGGGGCCTTCTGCATGCAAACCACATGCTCTGAGCTACAGACCTTCTCCTGGATGTGAAGTTAACCTCTCAGGCAACTGTATACTGGATTGCAGCCAGTATTATTATTTAATCACAAGTAAGTGTTTAAGGTCAAGGTATAACATACCTTATTATATAGTGACACTCAAAGCATCTTTTAGTGCCCTGCCAACATGATCGCTCAGTCAAAACAGATTAGAATTTTAGGAAAACTCCTAGAATGGTCAATATCCAATCTTTCACAAGCAAAATTCCCCCCTCTCCCTCCCCTCCCCACTGCCCTCCTGTAGTCCCATCTGTGTAGCTCGCCAAAATCTTCTCTGAGGGGTTCCTTATTTATTTAAATTTAGGGTGCCTACAGGGGAAGAGAAATGCATTCCACCAATAGTGTCCGCTCTGCTACTGATATGCAGCACTGGACTGCACACAGTAATTTTGTCCCATTAAAGAGAAACTAAATCATTTATTTGAATATATTCTGCTATGTTTAAGTAGTGTTTATAAAATGGTGATGTTTACAGGAAAGGCATGATAACATAGGCTTTACATATTAATACGTATTTTCAAAGAACAAGGCACCTTTGGCTGAAGTTTGCTGTATAATATATAAATCCAATTACTCCTAAAGAAAGTTTTGTCTTTCATGGCATATAACCTCTTTCATGGACCTATTAGAAGTAATTTTTTCCTGCTTAATGATATAGTGACACAATGACAAGCATATTTTAATACAAAAATACTAGCACAATAACTTACATCATATGCATAATAATATTGTTGTGCCATTCCTTCTGTCATAAGAGAACACTCCACAAAATCTAGACGTATCATCTAGTCAGAAGGCTGTGGAGATTAACAGCTTGATTCTGAACACATTTACTAAGATGTTTCTATTTAATTTTGGCAAAAAGTATATCAAGTAAATATACATAGGGACTATAGGCTTGGGATTTATTTTCATACCCATTCTCAGGTGGCAGGATCCAGATACAGTACAGTTTGAGTTTTTCTCTCTGGACAGAAGAAGTAGACATTTGATTACAGTATCACACCCTTATGTAAGCTAAGCTTACTACAGCAAACTATAGACTGGGTTGATTGATTTAATATTAGAACATGGCCAGATGGTGAAAAATCAAGAAGTGAGTGAAGCTATCATTCACTTGCTGTGTGTTGCAAGGTATCATGCAATTTTCTTAGCCATATGCTTTAGTTAGGTGGGAGTGCAGCAACACTTCTTTAAGTGGCATTCACTCAAGCCATAACTCATGACCTAAACATTCTCATAGAAATCATCCTTAGTTCAGTAATTACATTTGTATTGAAAGCAATTTAATGAGCAACTCTTCACAGACCTTGTCATCCATTAACATGGTGTTATTTTGCATTAGTATATATGTAAGGTTTTTGGCATCAACTATATTAATTCCACAATAATTCAATGAATAGTTAAACTGTGCAACAGTTCAGTTGTACAGCTTGCCTATATTACTGTTATGTACTCTTAAATGCTATGGTCAGGGGTACAAAAACACTTTTAATTATGCCCATTTATTTCTTTTTATCTATATGCACCCCTTATAGACAGTCTAAAATAATTTTAAATAAGCAAACACGATGATACACCTTCAGAAACTTTTTCCCATTTAAAAAGTTGCTTGCCTTGTTTCCAGAATCCTATCACACATGGAAACACTATGCTTCAGACTCATATTAAACACATGCACACATGTACCAAGAGACAGAGCATGAAAATCCTACTGAATCATATACTTTCCACTGAATGGGGCAAGCCTTTAGGATCGCTTCCCTGACATCCATAAAGCTCTTTATCCCTCCTGATTTTTATTTAAGATTATTTTTAAACACACTTTTTTTTTTTTCAGAGGTGGCTCTCTGAAAAATACCATATTTATTTGGTTTCAAACTAGTTATTCTGTGCTTTGGTACTTCACACCCTGTTCTTCTATGTACTTAGACTGTTAGATAAGACTTTTCATTCAGTTATCTGAATGAAACACTCTTCTGGGAAAGGGTTTTTTGTGACCAGCCATTCTTCCCAAGGCAGCTATTCTGTGAGAGTCCCCACAATGCACTCTTTTTGGGCCTACTGACCCAAAAACATTGGATGCCCCTGGATGGACTGAACACACCATTCTGCAACTGTGAATGCACACAGAGGTAACTTTTATGGATCATGACTCGGAAACACTCTTACCACATTTAAGCTAGACCTACCTTTGCCGCTACATAAGATTCAAAGGAACTGTCCTTAAAAGCCAGCTGTACAAAGCACTGATCAGCTGAATCTAGTAATGAACCTTTCCTGTTCCCATTTTCAAAGCACAAGGGCTCACCAATTCAATGAAGCCGCAACAATACGTTTCATTCCCAATGGAACATGACTATGTACAAGACAGAGGAATCATGAACAACAGGAAGTCATGCACATAGCAATAGTCAGGTGTGAACCACATGTATTATGGTGCTTCATGCAGCCAGTGACCTCTTGGCCAAACTAGTATTCAGTAGTTACGGATGCCTTCATTTGAACTACAAAGTTAGGTTCACACTGGGGCGGGGGGGGGGGGGGATTGATGGAGGGGAACGCACTGTGACTACTGTTGTGCCCTAGATCTGTCTCTGGTGTTAAGCCAAAGGAAGTACTTGATGTCAGCAGAACAGATAAGTGATTTCATCCAAACACTTGTGTGTAAACTTCATCAGAAACTGTGAAACTTAAATCAAGTTAAACATGCATAAATCTGACAACTCAGTTATGCACGGATTCTAAATATATTTGTGCATACCCAATTTAAAACACTACCTTATTACACCCTCAATAGTGTCTAAGGATCATATTTTGTTAAAACAACAAATGATACAAATTGATATGGCACTGAAACCTTTGGGGTTCTTCTAGCCAGCCAATCAACCATGCCTTTTCCCACACTATGTCATTCTATTTTCCTTCCCTAATTTTCCATTTCTTCATCTCAGTCAGACAGGATTCTGTTGCTACTGAGCATGCTCAGTACTCATTGGGCTATTTCAGTTTTGTTTTCCTTCTCTTATTTCCCCTCTTTTACTGTAATTCTGCAAACCATAAGGTTCCACATGTGTGCTAGTAAGTGTTCTGGTATACAAATGGTGATATTTTGGCAGCATAAAGATCCACACCCAGAGAATGAGTTCACTATTAGTAAACAGGATACTACATACTGAATGCTTCAGTCCTGAACACTAATTCAGCTTAAACAGAACTGCTGTGAGCATCTTGGCCCTGATTTAGACTGCAATACATTTCCTTACCTTTGTGAGACCACCTTCCACCAAGATGGGAAGGGATGAAAAATCCAGTTTTATTTGTTTAAGAAAAGTGAAACCAGAAGAATATTTCCTGTTATATAGGATGGCAAGAGTTTTAATCCTAATTAAGGATTGTCTGATTACTATAGTTATGTGACTAAATATGCCTAAGAATATATAGTATAAGCATGTAGGGATTGATCAAAGTAAATTGTAAATGTAAATTAAATATAAGTACTCCATAGTTGATGCATTAGTAGATACGTTCTGAAGTACATACAAAAAAATCCCATTAGCACAAGTGTATGTTTTAAGCTATTATTCTACCATAACATTGTGTGCTGATGTTGTATGTCTGCATTTGGTATCTGCCAAACTCAACCCAGGTTGGCTTTTAAGTTTCCATCACAGAAATCTAAATATGATTGATTCCATTGGAATATTAAAAGCCCAATGAAGATGGTAATGATAACACGGCACACAACAGTGCATACTAAGGCAGTAATGGTTGAGCATGGTTGGGGAGCAGCCATGTTTATTAAAGTCATGGACAAAAGACACCAGCAGTAATCCATTACTCCTTACCTCATATGACCAGACGCACTGAGTTCCACCAAACCGCCGAACACATCGGCCCACTTCGACATCCTCATGAGTAGTGTACATTTCTCGAAGACATTCACCTATGTGTGGCACCATCCTCCTCAGAACCTCACGACTGAAGATCATTCCAGGCCCTCCCATACAGAAATTCTCTCCTGGCTCAAGACCCAGTTTTCCAAGTTCTTCAATGTTTCCCAGTCCTGTTTGTCCCAAATACAGAGGTTTACTGCTGTTCAGTGACCTAAGGAACTCCTCCAATTTTTCGCCTGTAAGAAATAAAGAGAGAGAGAGGATATATTAAAGCAAAAGGGATAGCAGGGCCATTTATTATCAAGCAGTACATTCAAACAATTTCTACAATGAACATACTACTAATTTTTGGACTGTCCACCAACTGGCAAACTGTACTGCTGACAATACCTTCTTTTTTCTACATTTACCCACTGGCCTCCTCCTATTACTATGGCCATTTGCATCCTCTACTGTTACTGCTACCATATATACACAATTTAACTCTTCAGTGGCCTTCCACAGTTGGAGTAAAAGAAAAGAGTACTGAACAACTCAGTAGTTTTGTTGTACATGGATTCAAGATCCATAAAATACATTAAGCATACAATTCAATGCATGTTAGACAGAAAACATCCTACAGTTCCTCACATTCCCCAGTCAGCATGATAGAGCAAAGCACAAAGGGTAGAGGGGAGCAGAGCCAGAGTAAGTAAAATCAGGTGACATTCCACTTCATGAACTGTTTGCCTACTGAGTTAAAGTACAAACTCTCATACAGTGCTGTATAATGCATAAATCCAATTACTGCTGTTTATGACAAAAAGAGAGTGAAAAATGGAGAAGATAAAATATGATACTAGACTGCACATTTTCCTTAAAGGATATTCCAATGAAGTCAATTGAATTTAATTCCAACTAGATATATTTAGGAAAGAAGTGAGTGGAATTTAAAGAGAGTGAGGGTTATGTATGTGAATTAACTTTATAAAACCTTCCTCTGAATCTCCTGAGTACTGCAATTGGAGCACTAGAGAGTAAGAGTTAGTACCCAAGTCACTATTTTTAATATTTTAGGAAGCTTAAATTTGGTATATAAAATCAGGCAGCAGATAAATTACTCAATGAATACATGTTTTCTTTGTTATTTAAATTCTGCATGTTTTGTATATTTAATTAGTTTAACATCAAATGAAATGTATTTGATGTCACACATTAACAGGGCTACCCTATACAAGACTACTCAGATATTAAGCCTCACTGAGGTCCATGGGGCTTTTTCCCAGATAAGCAGGGGTAGGTCCACATCCTAAAGACTATCCTCAATAGATTCTTTAAAAATGACTGATCTACTTTGCTGTTAATTCTCATAGTTAGTGGCATATTAGGAGCCAATTATGGGAATTAGCACAAAAATGTCTGCTAATCTGGGTTCCAGATTCATAAAATGCCTGCCATGGTGGGCATGGCCTGTCATTTTCCAGGAAGCAACTGGTAAGGTCTAAAAGAAAAAGAAACTTATTCAAGAACCTAGTACAAGGCAGATGTGTTATTTCACAAACATTCTTGTGAACCCAAATTAAGATGGCTCTGCAAGGCAGAGCTTCCCTTTGCAGTAAGTTCACCTTCCCAATTTAAAAACAAAGTTTAAAAAAAATCTTCAGTGAAATGAAAATCAGATGCAAGGAGCTTGGTGGGCACCAAGAGAGATATCCATGTGCATATCAGTGCCCAGGCCCCTACACAATGGATACCCTAAAGTGACTGCATGCTACACAATAACATATCTAAATATATCAAAAATGAGGTACCAAAATTTTTCAACAGTTCCTTGAGCAATATCTTATTTTTTCTGTGTACACCCTTCTAACCTAAGCACATGGCCACAGAAACTAACATACAATCATGAAATATATAAAATGATATATTGCCATGGGTCACAATTGAACTGCTGTCACTGCAAGTATGCACCCTTTTCCCTTTTCAGCTGGACTCAGATGAGTATTGTAATGCAGCTGGACATGGACATGTGCATCAGCAATGTGCACAGAAGGTTGCTTAAAATACAAATATTTTCCAAGACAGCTTGAAAAATCATAGGAAAAATGCTGTAAGCAGCCTTTCTATATTGAAAAGAAAGGAAATAATGTGAGTAATAATAGCACAAAGAAAATTAAGGTATAAGTTTATAAAGAAAGATAAAGGAATATATAAGGAATATATTTTAACTCATTCAACTACACAATATTCTACATTTCAGTTAAAATCTCTATTGACAAATGGAGAACCAGCTTATAATACTACTTGTATACATGCAAAAGGGCAAGATGAGGATGGACTGCCACCCTTAGGCTGCAGAGCTGAGGCACACAAGAAGCTCAGCTGCAGCATGCTGCAAGTGGAAGGTGAATTCCCACCAAAGCCAAATTCATATCTTCTCAAAGTTTACTTTAATCCATGTAAACTGGAATAACATGGCAGGATTCTTTACTTCTACTGAAAAGACCAAACAGACAATAACATGTTCAGCAAAATCAGAGAGGCTGACAACATCTTTTTGTTGAAGTTGCTTTAGTCCATTGCATATATTGATTCCCCAGAACTGTTCTCCTTCTAGCACAATGCAGTATAATATTTAAACACAATCAACTTTCTGTGCTGCATTTATATCCTACCATATTCCCAAGAATGCACTTGAATTCACATTTGAGAAGAGACAGAATTCATAAGGACCAAAAAAAATATCAGGCCCAAGATCCTAATATCAGAAACATGTGAAGCTGGTTGTGGTCATTCAGTAGTGAAAGGATTTCACTCTACACAGAAGTCACTGCTGACATTTATTTCTGTACTATCCAATAGCCAAAACATTCTGGGTGGTTTACAACAGTGCCTAAACCAGGACTATAATGCAATAAAAACAACCATAAAAATTTCCAAAATGTAAAACTTAAAAGCGGTTTAGTTTTTTCAGATAGTACCTATATCCATGCAGCAATTAACCAATATTAAAACCAATACTTTTAATACAGAGTAAACTGCTAAAAACACCTGATATCAGTATATGTTATCAAGCCATTAATTATCCTTAAATGCCTCAGCAGAGAGACATTTGACCCAGCGCTGAAAGGATGGCAACATGATGCTACACCTCAGTGTAGAAATCATCTAGAGTCAAGGGTTCCCAAGTGATGAAAAGGTTCTCCTTCTTGTTGCTGCCTTCAATTCTTCCTTAGAGGTGGCAACTCAGAGGAAGGTCTCAGATGTTGATCTTAAGTGTCTGGGTAGACTGGGCTTGAGAGAGGTATCCTATCAAGTACTGTGGTCCCAAGCACTGTAAGGTAAGCACCTTGCATCAGGTTTAGAAGCACAAGGGAGCTGATGCAAGTGGTGTTATTTGGTCAGTACGTCTTGTCTAGTCATTAGTCTGACTGCCATATTTCACACAAGTTGCAGCTTCAAGGGCAGTCCACTTAGTGATTGCAGTAGTCTAACTTAGAAATTACCAGAGTGTAGAAAACAAGCTATCCTTGTCCAGACAGAAATGTAACTGAACCACCAGCTTAAGCTAGTAGCAGGACTCCATGCTATTTAGGGTATCTGAGGCTCAAGTGGCAAAGATGGTTCAAGGAGGACCCCCAAGCTACAAACCTGCTCCTTCCAGGGGAATCCAACAGGGGAAGGGAAGAGTTAGACTGAAGTGAACATTGTGTTCACTTCATATTCACTTGCAGTCACTTTATATTCAATTCATAAATATGCCATATGCCGTCACCATATACATTCCAGCGCCAGGTTAAAACTTTTTAAAATTTCCCTGCCATTTTGTTGACTTTCTAGTTTTACACTGGCTTTTAAATTATCTGGTGCATGTGGAATAGTTGTTATTATTTATTGCACTGTGTTGTTATTGTATATGCCTACAAAAAATTATTGTACACAGATGTTTTTATTGCAGGCAAATCTGTTTAAATTGTTTTGATTGTTGAATTTTGTATATTTTAATTATATTTTATAAACATTTTGCTAATCAAATGTATATAAATAGTTTAAATAAAATAAAACCATTTTAGAAGAACTTTCAACAATTCACAAAATGGAAAGAATTTTGAATGTGAAAGAAAGAAAAATAGTTTTTCCTATCCAGTGCAGGGCTTTGAGTGCTTAAGTTTGGGTTTGAATCACTGGGCATCCAACCATGGGTGTGGTACTGAAGTAGGTTTGCCACTCTTTTTTTCTGACTGTCCTCCCTTCTTTAGCAGTAACATGGCCAGCAAGTACAAAAAGGTCCCTTTTATGCTGTGAGAAGCTGTACTTGTTGAATTTGGCTGGTACACATGTGTTAACTATTTCACTCAGTTTGGGTTTTCTGTAAGAACTTAACAAAATAGGGTATGTTTTCATAAATGGACCGAACAGAGCTTGAGATTTCCAAAAAAAAAAAATCCCATCGGAGAAAAAGACAAACCAACAGATTACTCTGTCTTGCATGACTGACTGATCAATTGATTGATTTTATTTGTACCTCACCTTTCTACCAAGCGAAATAGCAAGCCAGATAGCTTACTGGCCCTAAGATTCAGTAAAGAGTCAAAATTAAGACTTACTGTGAAGGCTGAGGGATATACTCAGTAATTAGAAAACAAAATAAACATGAAGTATAAAATTAAATACTTCACACGTATTGATGTGGCTTAGTGCCTAAGAGTATGGGACTGGGACTCAAGCAATTTGGATTCTAGTCCCTGCTTGGCCATGAAGCCAACTGAGTGACTCTGGGCCAGTCACAGACTCTCAGTCCAACCTACCTCACCCGGTTGTAGTTATGAGGATACGAGCATAAAACTGAAAGCAGGAGGAGGAGAACGGTGTAAGCCACTTTGAGTTCTTTGTAAGGAAAAAAGGTGGGATAAATACATAAATATTAAAATCTACAAGTAAATTAAGGAATAGCAAAGCTTCAATGGTAAAACATATATTCCATATAAGGAGCATCTCAAGTCAGTCCTTGGAATCTTTTTGCAGAGCTGGGAAACCCTGAAAAGCCACTGACAGTTAGTGTAGACACTGAGCTTGGTAGACTGATCCAGTGTAAGACAGGTTCCCATGTTCCTATATCTTGGTTATTTTTTTACCATCCATGGGCAATGCAGACTTACTTCATTTCCAGATCTATCCAGGCACTGCCAAGCTTCAAGAAAGTGTTCAATCGGACAACTACTTCCTTCATTACCTGGTCACTGAAACCAAGTTTCAGGGTGATATACTTGTGTAGCATCCCTATGCACTCTTACCTGAAGGAACGATGAAATCCTATCCATGGCTGTTGAGAAGTAAGATCCACTGAGTACAATAGGTTTTATTCATGGTAAACAAGCATACAAGTGCTAAACCCATTAAGGTCAGTAGGATTTAATTCTGAATAGACACGCCACAATTGCACTGCTGGAAGACTATAGCCCTAGTTGATCTTAAGAGAACACATGGTAAATAAATGGTCTTGGTTTCTTAATACTAGTGGCATTCCTTGAAAACACTTGGGATGAGCCCATCCCTTCCATTTAGGACAGTTCCAACTAAACACCAGTACTTGTCTCTACTGAAAAATAGAGAATATGGCATTTGAAATATCCAGGAGATTAGAGACACTTGGGCATTTGGTTTATTAGGAGCCTATAAACCTTCCTTTCATGAGTTTAAAGCAAAACCAAAAACTTTTTAACTACATCTGGGACTGAAGACTCATTAATTCAGACTCATTAATCCTACTAAGAAGAAATGCATCAATGTTCCCTGCCACTTATGGATGGAGAGAATTGATTATGCTAACAAGTAAGCAGCTTGTAAAACATAAGAACTTAAGAAGATTCATGCTGCATCATACTCCAGTATTCTGTTCACGCAGTGGCCAACCAAATGCCCACAGGAATTCCACAAACAGGACATGATTGCAAAGCACCCTTCCTTTCCAGTTTCCCAGGAACTGGTATATAAAGGCATATTGCCTGTGATAAGGAAGCATGGCTATCAGGACCAGAAGTCATTAATAACTTTATCCTCCATTAATACGTCCAATGCCTTGAAAGCCGTCCAGATTGGTGGCCATCACTACATCTCATGGGAATGAATTGCACAGTTTAAATACACACTATATGAGTTACTTCCTATTATAGGTCCTGAATCTACCACTGAATAGCATTATGGGATGACCTCAGGCACTTGCCTTTCTTCTTAAGGATGCCATAATCTTTCCTCATAGGGGAGTTACTGCAGCCCCTTGATCATTTTAGTTGCCTTTTTCTGCACTTTTTCTGATTATAGAATATTCTTTAAATGCAGCAACCAAAACTGGACACAATGTTCTAAGCACAGTTTGTATACCAAGAGTATGATCTTGGGTGCTTTCTTTTCAGTTCCTTTCCCAATTATACCTAACATGGGCTTTGCATTTTTCACAGCAAATGCACACTGAGTTGACATTTTCATTGACCTATCCACCATAATCCTAAGATCCCTTGGTCAGTCACTCCTAGATCAGCTTATAATTGAACTTGGTAATTTTTGTCCCAGTGTACTTTTTAGACTTGCTCACACTGAACTCACATTTGCCATTCTGATATCCATTCTTCCAGTTTAGAGATTCTTTTGAAACGCCTCACAATTCTTTTTTAGTTTCAACCATGCTAAATAATTCTGCGTCATCAGAAAACTCTGTGATTTCATGCTCACTCTTAGTTCCAGAGCATTTATGAATGAGATGAAATTGGGCATGGTTCCAATGCAAAGCCCAGGGGGAACCCACTGTTTACATCTCTCCATTGAGAGAATTTATCATCTATTTGTAGTCCCTGCTTTCTGTTTTTTAAGTTACTGATCCACAAGGCATCTCTTTTCTTACTCTATGACTATTGCTAAGTTTGCTCAGGAGTCTTTGGTGAGGAGCTATGCCAATAACCCTCTAGAAAGCCAAATAATGTACCAGATCACCTCCGTCCTCATGTTTATTGGCACTTTCATAGAACTCTAAAAAGTTAGTAGGGCAGAACTTACCTTTGCAGAAGCCATGTCAATTCTTTTTTCTTATACCAGCTTACTATTGTTATCTTTAACAATGTTTTCAATCGATTTCTTGGAACAGACATTAAGCTAACCGGTGTGCAATTTCTCAGATCACCTGAATTTCTTTTTAAAGTTTGGTACTATATTAACCATACTCTTGTCCTATGATACAGCTGCTAATCTCAGGGACATGTTATGTATCTTTGTTAGAAAATCAGCAATGTCATATTTCAACTATTAAAAACTTTAGGATGGATACCATTTGGACCCAGTTATTTCAATTTGTCAATAAAATTGTAAACATTGTGTTCAGTCTCAATTGGCTCAGTTCCTCAGACTCCTTGGAAATATTAGCTTTGGCAAAGGTATATGTACTATATCTTGTGCAGTTGAGACTAATGAAAACAATTTATTCAGCTTTCCTGAAATCCTGATAATCCTCCTTTAGCACTGTTTAACTCTTTTGCTGTCCAACTGTCCATCAGGTCACATGCTTCCCTATCTGGTTTTCTGCTTCTGATATATTTAAACGATTATTTATTCTTAGCTTTGATACCATTAGCTCTATACTCTTCCAATTGCCTTTTGGGAATGGGGGTTGTTTGCATCTCCTTGGTGCAAACTCAACTCCCTTTTGTTTTCCTCATTTGGGCAAGACTTAAATTTCTAAAGAAACCCTTCTTTTTTCTAATCCCTCCCTTAACTTGGCTTATTAGCTATGCTTGTGACCTCTTGGACTTGGTGCCACCTTCATTAACCTGTGGTAAGCATTCTAGCTCAGCATTTCCTGCCATGTGCAGGGAGCTACAGGCATCTCATAGATCAGCTTGCAACTGAGCTTGGGAAAAAGCATTTCGTGATTATATCAAAGCAATGCTGATTTATGATACTAAAATTGAGATTGTGCTTTATTTTAAAGAGCTTTTAATTTTCTAAATCTATCCAAAGTCTTAGATTATATTTGATGTATATATTATATTCCCATTTCACACCTAGTTAATGTGAATTACCTGTTGCATTTTCAATGTCCTCCATGTTAATTTGTTTTAACTCCACTTTGCCACAACCCATGCAATGGCATCCCACAACACTTTCCCCTGACTTCTACTTCAGCTTAAGTTCTTCACAATACTCTGTGAGACGATACTCTAGTGAGATTTTAGTGACAATTTAAAAGCTATCTTTCTGAAGTAACTAATATAGCTATTCCACAGGAACCCTGCAATGCCACCAATATGCTGAAAAACTTAAAAGACTGTAATGAAAATCATAGCAAGTCAGGCTATTTACTTTGGGAATGGAAAATGGAATACAATTTGTCCACCTGTTGTGATTTCTTTGCTAATACTTTACCGTCATCCCAGGTACAATTCCTAATATTAAAGTTTGCTAATACATTTTCCAGGCTATTTTCATCAATTGTTCTAATGCAGACTATTACGATTTTGTTACTATTACAAAGAAATTGGTATAGTCCTTGGTGGTCTATTCTGAGCTTTTGGAATAAGATGGCTAAAAATCCAAATTAGTGAAAATAGGATGCACACGGATGCACATGGCTCACATTAACTATTTTTATCTATCCAGAAAAGAGGGTTTTTCTTCATCCTGCACTCCAAGAGACTGGAGGTTCCTCTACAAGAGAGACTGTTAGCCCAATAAATTTTAGAAAAGCCCTGGAGAGCATGGCGACAGTGCAAGGATATGTGCTGTGCCCTCAACAGAACCCCTGGAAATCTTTCACTCTTCAACCTGGCAGGCAGGAAGAGTCATATACTTGCCAAGTAACTTGTGGACGGGGAAGGAGAAGGCTAAGGGAAGTAGGTGAGATCTCAGCTTTCCTGCTGAAACTGATGCAGCACACTCTCTTTGTAAAACGCACCTAGCTGTGCCTTATTGTGACAATTTCGCTCACGAGGTGTACAGGATACAAATAGGAGATAGCCTATTCTTTCTCACGATCTTATGCATGTTTACTCAGATGTACTGAAACCACCTGGGCTAGCTCCCTAGTGAGCAGGCATAGGATCACAACTTTAAACAGTTCTGGGGGGTGAGAACCACTGAGCACGTGGGATGATGCTCCTCAGCCTGCCTATAAGCCCTAAACTATCAGCTCCAACGTTTAGGCACTACACGTGTAGGTGCTTTTCAGCTGCGAAAGCCATGCGCTCTGCACAGGCTCAGCAACTACCCCGCACAGCCTAGAGCACTAAGCACAGGCACTGAACAAGTTTCGGCATTGCGAACAACACCCCGACACACTCCCTGCTCTGACCTTTGATGTAGACATCGTCGTCCGCCCGCATAAACCACTCGTAAGTGTCCAGGTAGTGGTCGTGCATATACTTAAGCATCATGAAGGATTTTTTCTGAGGCGGGTACGAGTCGTCCACGCCGGGTAAGGCGACGACCGGCAGTGGCTGCTCCCCTTGCAGGGCAGGAGGAGGAACAGAGCCCTGCGAGGAGAAGAACTCCACTCGGCCGGAGATTGAGCGCGCCCAGGTCCGCTGCACCGCCAGCGCTCGGCTGCCCAGGTACTTCTGGGCGGTCATCACCCCGACGTAGAGGAAGTGGCGGGTCTTGGCGCAGCCCGGGGCGCCCGCGTAGTCCCCGCTGCCGTTGTGGCTGCTGCCGTGGCGCCCGGCGCCGTCCTCTTCCTCCTCCTCCTCCTCTTGCGGGTCTCCTTCTCCGGTATCTGCAACAGGGGGACTGGGCACAGGCTCGTCCTCCGCCGCAGGAGGCGGCGGCGGCTGCTCTCTCTCTTTTTCCCACAGGCTGCTTCTCACGGCGGCACCCCCCAGCCCTCCAGCTGCCGCCGCCTCGGGTCGCAGCTGCCTCTCGCTCCCGGGCAGCCGAGCCACGCGGCCGTAGAAAGCGCAGAGACTACTGCCGCCGCCGCCGCCGCCGGAGGAGCCGCTGTTGCCGCTGCCGCCGCCTCGCCTCTTCCTCTCACTCAGCTCGGCCACTTTGGGCGCAATAAGCCAGGAGGCGACGGTGAAGCCCAGCACCAGCCCTAGCACCACGCTGAGCCAGGGGCGCCGGGACCGCGCTGCCATGGTGGTGGGCACGGGATGGGGCGGCGGCGAGAGAGCGGGGTCCCTCCCGCCAGGAGACGCCCACCGAGCTGCGGGTCCCGCCGCCGCCTCCTTCTCCTTCGCCTCCTTCTCTTCCTCCGCCTCTTTTTCGTCACACTTCCAGACCCCGAGACCGCCTTGGCAAGTCCGCGAGGCGTGGTCGCTTCGCGCCGCAGCACAGGGAGCGGCAGCCGCTTCTTCGGGCTGTTGCTCCGACTGAAACTTATCTCCCGCCGGCTCGGTGTCAGCAAAGAGAGCGGCCCGTGCACACTCGGACTTTGCGGGCAGCGCCTTGGCAGCGGCGCCGCGCTCTTCCCTCCCGGCTCCTCCCACTGCTCTGCCTCCTCCAAGCAAGGGAGGCAGAGGAGCCCAGCAGGAGCAGCCAGCGCAGCCGACGAGGCACAGCAGTCCGCGAGCCGCTCATCCCGCCCGCAGCTCAGGGCCGGCGGTGGCGGGGCGGCAGCAGTGGCAGCTTCCGAGCGCCGCGCTCAGGAGACACCAGCAGCGCCACCGGCACCCGCTACGGGTCGCTACACGAGCGCTGAGGGGCAGGGTGGCTCCTCCTTAGCGGCCTCTCCGGAAGGAAATTCGCGTCTTCCCCATGGGCCTCCCCTTTCGCACAACTCTCTCTACTTTCACGAGTGGCATGCAGTATCTGGGGTGGTCCCTTTCTCGTGTCCATGTTTACGAGCTCTCACCCTAATTCAGTCACCTTCGTCCTGTTTCCTTCCCCTCCACTTGCATTTTTTGTGGTTTTCTCATCCGCATCATCACTTCTTCTAAAACCAGGTGGACGGACGTGCTTTTTAGAATTGGAAGGAAGAGAAGAGAATGAGAACTGGGAGGGGGACAAACAAGGGTAGAAAAGGGACGAGGGCAGGGTTGACTAGCAGAAAGCACAGTTCCCTTCAATCCGTCCTGATGAGGTGAGAAGGAGAAATAAAAGGAGAACAGGGATAGTCTTACTTCTTCCCTGTTAAAGGTGCCTAGAAGAAGTGTGGATGATGTCCTGAAGCCAAAGGAAGGGAAATCTGGGAATGGAGACGTGTTGTGAACTGCCCCTCTCATGACATGTGAGACTTAGCTATAGGATGCTTTCTTCTGGACAGATCTACATCAGAAACGTAAATCACTATCGTACTTCACATAGCCTATGGTTGTTTGCTTAGTGAGGTGACATGTTCAAGGTTTAATGGGAAGAAGACATGGCCCTTAAACCAGCTTAAGGATGCTTTAAACCAGTACCCATCTTCCTTGAGGATTCCATGGACAGCTGGTTTGCCAGCACATGAGTGGAGTGCTGGACTGAATGATCCATGGTCTGATCCAGCATCACTTTTCTTATGCTTTTAAGACTTCAGTGTTCATTGGCTCTCTGGATACAAATACACTTAGTTCATTCTTCAGGCTTAATATACAGTAAGCCAACAGTCAGTCCCAGAAGCTGTTTCAAAAACAGAGGCTGATCAGTCCTGAACACATAACAGAATGCTTCTAGAGGCTAATGATGCCTTAACTTTGATTTTGAAGGGTTTTTTTAACTTTGATTTTTAACTTTGACCACAGACATCAAATGGTCCATTCAGTCCACACAAGCCAAGGAATTTAAGGGAAGAGGTTCTAAGGGAATTATTGTACCCTCACAACAGCTTTCCAGTTTTCTCCTTAGAAACTAGCCACTAGATGGATTTGCAAAACCTAAGTACTTTCAGCTCTTAAACTATGTCAGATGTGGGTTAATTTGTACATATTGCCAGTTCGGATTTGTGTATTTGTTGCAAGGTGTCCTTGGTCTTGATCCCTGCAGAACAACTTTCCCAACCTGATAAGCAATAAGGGGCTGTAATACAAAGTACAACTAAATAATATTTATTAGAATACTTGGACAAACTATCAGCATAACCTGTGGTTACAGTGCTGAGCTGGGATCCAAGAGATCTGAGTTTTAGTTCCCACAAAGTTCATTAGTTTACTTTGGGCCAAATACTGACTCTCAGCCTAACCTACCTCACAGGGTTGTTGGGAGGATAAGATGGAGAATTATGTAAGTTGTGTTGAGTTCCTTAAAGCTAAAAAGGTGGAGTATAAATATACTCTGTAATGACAAATACTGAAGAAAAAAAATGTAAGCATCCAAGAGGAAATTTATAATACACCAGAACAAGATATGTTAATAGTCATAAGAGATTGGAATGCAAAAGTAGGATACAAAGCAAAAACAAATGTTATGGGAGAATTTGGCTTAGGGTTCAGAAACAAACCAGTCAAAAGACTCATAGAATTCTATGAAGATAGGCTATACATAAATAGCAAATATTTGGAAGTAAAGTATGGAGAACTTGCATTGTCACTAACAAAACAAGACCAGAAGTGTATTGGCATAGTGACCGTGAACTTTCCGTATCAAAAAAATCAGAGTCAAAGAGTTTAGTAACATAAGCACAGTGCCAAAATGCAACTTAAATAACATTCCTGAAATGTCCACATTGAAAACGGATTTCCATTACTGAACTTAATTGCCCATGAACCAAAACTGTGGATTGAAACCAGAGACATTAGGGAAGAATGCAGAAAGACAATTCCTATAGCAAAAAGAAAGAAAAAGCCTAAACAGATGACAGAAATAACACATGCAATGATAGGTGAGAAGGAAAAAGCAAAACATGGTAGGAATCAGGTCAGAATCCTGCATGCAACTTTTCACCAACTTTCATATAGAGACAAAAAGAACAATGGCCAGGGCAAAGAAATAGAAGGTAACACTAAAGGAAGAAAACCAAGATATCTCTTCCAGATGATCTAAGAAATGAAAACGAAATACAAACCTAAAGGAATCCTGAATGTCAAACAGGAACATACTATCTGATCAAGATAAAATAAAGAGAAGGAAGAAACAATATGAAAAGAACCATGCAGAAGAGATTTAAAAATGACAGACTCTTCCAAAGAGGAATCCTATGAGGAAAAACCTGCAATATTAGAAAGTGAACTGAAGAAACTTGCTGCATTCAAAATAAGGTGCTGGAGGAAATCTTTGAGCATACAATGGACTGACAAAAAGACAAATGTGTCCTAGATCAATTCAAGCTAGAACTTAAACTGGAAGCAAAAATGATGAAAATGAAGCTGTCGTACTTGGAGTGCATCATGAGAAAGCAAGACTCACTGGAGAAGACAATTATGCTAGCTGAAGTTGAAGGCAGAAGAAGAAAGGAAAGTCCAGTTATGAAGTTGAAGGCAGAAGAAGAAAGGAAAGTCCAATTATGAGATGGATCGAGTCCATAATGGAAGCTTCAGTCTTGAGTTTACAAGAACTGAACATGGCAAGACATTTTACAAAAACTTCATAAGTTGGAAACAACCTGATGACAAGTAACAGAAACAAAACTGTTTTTGCCACATAGTGATAGAAGGAGAATGCTATAGATTGGTGCTGTTAACAGCTTTTTCCTTGAAGGGACAAAAGTCGGTTTTTCACTAACATTCTTGAGGTGGAAGTGAAGATGGCATGTGAATAAGGCCCAGTAAGGCTGTACTACAATATTATTGTATGGATTGTTTTAGAGTAGATATAGAAATGTGTTGATTATAGCCTTCAGAAGATTCTGAAATTTGGCTTCCTGCAATAACATTTGAGAAAGTAACTGTTACATTTCAGGTCTCCATGTTGATACAAAAGGGGTCTAATATTTGATACTTTCTAACTGTGTATCACTTACATAGTTTGCTAAGCCACTACAAAATTCATTTGCAGTGGCCTTTGATGTGAAAGTATCTCAGTAAATTGGCTGTAACAAGTCCACCATTCTGAGAAAATGATAGGACCATGGACTGGGATCTTTGCCATCTTGGAGCCATTGTGGGACCTTTACATGCAAGCACTCTGCATAGGGAAGTATGAAATTACTTATCCCAAAGCATCTACATTTACAATTGTATGCATGTTCAGATGGAAAAAAAGCTGTACATTTCTAGCATTGCTGGCTGAGAAATGCTGGCTGCTACAGGACTTTTTTCTGTCTAAACATGCATAGCACTGATTCCTAAGAAAAAATGAAAGCAACACAGATCCAGAACTTGAAATAGGTTGCTGAACCATATCAGGGCAAAATGGCTATGAACCAGCTTCAATGTTTCTCAACCCCTTGGTTCTCTTTCCCATTTCATACTTGATTATTTCTGGACTCCCTTGTTTTTTCCCATTCTCTCTCACGCAGCCCTTTTGCTGTCCGCCTTGCTAGTGTCTATGACCAAAGCAGCTTTCCATCTCTCCATTTGGCTGCTTCTGTTTTCTTACTCATTCCTCAAAACTATTTGACCTACAAAACCAGTCCTGAGCAGCAACCCCATCATAATGCCATTTATCAGTTCCCTGCCCCATTGCTTTCTCAGACCCTGACTGACACATTTGCTCTGCTCCTCGCGCTACTATACTTCTTCACAATGCCGCCACCACCAATGTGCAATATTTGCTCATACTTCTGTTCTTTGCCACATACTGCATCTTGAATCATAGCTGCATCCTTAGCAAGCTGACATAGTAACCGAATGAAACTAACTGATGGAGTGGCTTACGCAGACCTTAAATTTGTAACTGAACTCAATTCTGCTCAACAACTATGTATGCAATTATTATTATCATTTATTATTATAACTTTCATTTCTGTACCACCCTTTAGCCAAAGCTCTCTGAGCAGTTTACAACAACATCAAAAGACTGAAGTGTGTGTGTGTGTCTCAGATGAAGGTCAGGCATTTGAACAAAATCTATTTGATATGCAGTTCCTAATCTGCTAGGCAGTCAGCTTTTTAACAGAAGGTACTAAGACTGCTTACAATCTGTATTCTCTAGCTTGGAAACCCTTCCTCTTAATCCCTGACATAAGGGACAGGTTGTGGCTGTTCCGTGATAACAGAAATACACTCTGTACTTATCTAGAGGCACTGTTATTACTCCACATGTTCCAAGATTATCCTTGACG